ACAATGAAAAAAAATTGGTCGAAGATTATTTCGACAAAACTTTCCTCGCCCCTGAAGTACAGCCGAACAAATCCTGGTTCTTTGAAAAATTATTCATTTTTTTGGGATTTTCGTTTTCTGATAACTTCTAACCAACTTTTTTCACTAGACTATTTCACATAATTCTTCAAATTATCTTTTTTTCTTTTTCGAGGTTTTAACTTTAAATTAATCTCTTTTTCAGTTTGAAATTTTCAGTTTTTAGATTTTGCAATTGTTGGATTTAAAATTTAATGACTTTTTATTTTTTTTCCATTTCTTTAATTTTTTGTTTCTTCAATTTTTAATTGGCAAGTTTTCTAATTTTCTAAATTTCTAAATTTACGATTACAAATTATACAAATTTCTTACATTCTAAAAAACATCGGAATTTGGGAACCGATTACAATAATAATAATAATAATTTATTTTCTACAGGTACATAACCCAATTATAGAAAAGACAAAATAACATAAAAGAACATATAAAACAACAATTGTTTATAATATAAAAGAAAAAACGGCGAAAACGAACGGATATGTAATGAATGGTCTAACGATCGAACAAACTGATTATACTTTTTTTTTTCATTTGAAATATGTAATAATAATTACAATTTGTAAAATGTTTCACTTTTTCAATGTTACCATTTAGAATTTTTCCCTTTTTCATTTATTCGATTTATCAATTTTTCGAATTTTAATTTTTGAATTTCTCGATATTTAATCTTACAATTTTTCGAATTTTCAATTTTACAGTTTTTCACGATTCGATTCGTTTTTTCTTCTCCTAATGTTTCAAGTTACTAATTCATTTTCGATTTTTAAGTTTCTCGATTTTTAGTGTTTCAATGCTTCAATTTTTCAATTTTCTCCTTTTTCGATTTTGCAATACCTCATTTTTCAGTTATTTGATTTTTCAATTTTTCTGATTTTATAATTCTTCTTTTTTGAGTGTGAAATTTTTCAATTTTTGGATTTTTCAATTTTTCGGTTCTTCAACTCGTAGATTTTTTAATTTCTCGTTTTTCAATTTTTCGTGTCTTCAGTTTTTGATTTGCAATTTTTCTAATTTTCATTTTAGATATGTAATAATAATAATTATAATTTTTAAAATGATTCATTTTTCAATTTTACCATTTTAGAATTTTTCCCATTTTTAATTACTGGATTCTAATTTTTTCCATTCATTCGATTTTTCAATTTTTCGAGCTTTCGGGTATTTCCGTTTTTTCGATTCGTTTCGTTTTTTCTTCTTTCCAATGTTTCAATTTACTAATTTAGTTTCGATTTTTAAGTTTCTCGATTTTTAGTTTCAATGCTTCAATTTTTCGATTTTCTCCTTTTTCGATTTTGCAATTCCTCATTTTTCAGTTTTTCGATTTTTCAATTTTTTCTGATTTTATAATTCTTCTTTTTTCAGTGTGAAATTTTTCAATTTTTGGATTTTTCAATTTTTCGGTTCTTCAACTCGTAGATTTTTTAATTTCTCGTTTTTCAATTTTTCGTGTCTTCAGTTTTTGATTTGCAATTTTTCTAATTTTCATTTTAGATATGTAATAAATAATTATAATTTTTAAAATGATTCATTTTTCAATTGTACCATTTTAGAATTTTTCCCATTTTTAATTACTGGATTTTAATATTTTTCCATTTATTCGATTTTTCAATTTTTCGAGCTTTCGGGTTTTCCATTTTTTCGATTCGATTCGTTTTTTCTTCTTTCCAGTGTCTCAAATTACTAATTAAGTTTCGATTTTTAAGTTTCTCGATTTTTAGTTTTTCAGTGGTTCAATTTTTCGATCTTCTACATTTTCGATTTCGCAATTCCTCATTTTTTCAGTTTTTCGATTTTTCAATTTTTTCTGATTTTATAATTTTTTTTTCAGTGTGAAATTTTTCAATTTTTGAATTTTTCAAATTTTCGGTTCAACTTATGGACTTCTTAATTTTTCGATTTTCAATTTTTCGCGTCTTCAGTTTTTGATATGCAATTTTTCTAATTTTCATTTTAAATAGGTAATAATACCTATAATTTTTTAAATGATTCACTTTTTCAATTTTACCATTTTAGAATTTTTCCCTTTTTTTAATTACCGGATTATAAAATTTTGACATTTATTCAATTTTTCAATGTTTCGAATTTTAATTTTTGAATTTCACGATATTTTTTTATTCAATTTTTCACGGTTCTATAATTTCTCGATTTTCCAGTTTTCTGGTTTTCCCATTTTTTGGGATTCGATGGTTTTTTTCTTCATTCCAATTCTTTGATTTATTAATTTATTTTCAATTTTTAAGTTTCTCGATTTTTAGTTTTTCAATATTTCAATTTTTCGCTTCAGTTCTTCGATTTCCATATTTTCGATTTTCTACTTTTTCGATGTTGCAATGCCTCGTTTTTTCAGTTTTTCAAGTTTTACCAATCTTTAGTTTTTCGATTTTTAATTTTTCGATTTTTGAATTTTTCGATTTTTGAATTTTTCGAGTTTTTAACTTTTCGCATCAAAAAAATTGGAAAATCAGAAGTGAAATTACGAAAAATAAAAAATGAAAATTTTGAAATATCTAAAAACTGGAGCTCAAGAACCCGAAAAATTAAAGGAACGAAAAACTGAAAAATCAAAGGATTAAAAATTGAGAAACATCAAAATCGAAAGAACAAAATATGTATTGTAAAATCCAGATATTGAAAATTAAAGAAATCGGAAAATTGAATAATTGGAAAATTGCAAATTTGAAAATTTTAAAAATTGAAAAATCAAAGACGAGATTGAATTTGAAGAACTGATGAACAAAAAATTATAAAGTTAAAGGAAACTTTGAAAAAAATAACTGAAATCATAAAACGAAAAATTGTAATATAGTAGGTATATAAAATCGAGAAAATAAAAATTAAAAAGTCTTGTAAATAAAAAATAAAAAAAGAACTTGGAAAGTTGAGGAAACAACAAACAGAAAAATTAAAAATTGAGGAAGTGAAAACTCAAAAATTAAAAAACAATAATATCCAAAAATTTGCAAAATTGAAAAATTGAAAATGAAAAATTAAAAAATCTAGAAATTGAAGAACCGAAAACTTGAAAAATTCAAAAATTGAAAATTTCACAATGAAAAAGAACAATTATAAAACCAAAGCGTCAAAAAACCGAAAAATTGTAAAAACTAAGAAAATAAACAACTGAAACGAACAACTGCAAATCGAAAAAATGAAGAAATGAAATTTTTCGGTTTTTGGATGTTCGAATTTTAATTTTTGAATTTCTCAATATTTAATTTTTCAATTTTTCCAATTTTCAATGTTACAACTTTCTGATTCTATAATTTCTGGATTTTAGAGTTTTCGGATTTTCCCATTTTTGCGATTCTATTCGTTTTTTCATCTTTCCGATTTTTCGATTTTTAAATTTTCCGATTTTCAATGTTTCATTTTTTCATTTCTTCAGTTCTTCGATTTGCAATTTTTCGATTTTCTACTGTTTCGATTTTCCAATTCCTAGTTTTTTCTGTTCTTCGGTTTTTCAATTTTATTTTTTAACTTTTCGAATCAAAAAAGGAAAAAAAAATGAAATTACGAAAAAGTATAAAACGAAAACTTTGATAAATATAAAAAGTGGAAATTTAGAACCCGAAAATTTAAAACAAAAAAAATTGAAAATTCAAAGGATTAAAAATTGAGAAAGTTCAAAATCGAAAAAACGAATTATGTATTGTAAAATCAAGAATGGGATTGAAAATTTGAAGAACTGAATAAACGAAAAATTGTGATATCAAAAAAACTTTAATTTTTAAATAAAGAATATGCCCAAAATATTTTGCATATTTTAGAGAGGATTTATTCGTCAAGATTTTGAGATTATGTCATTAATTATTTAGACGATGAGAATAAAGAATAAATTTTGATAAGTGATTTACCATGATTACGATAACTTAAAACGTTTGCAAGATTTCAAAGTTTCAAAGTTAAAATAAATTGCAAAATTTTGTTATCCAATTTTTTAGCTCGCGCTCGGAGAGCAAAAATACAAATTATATTCATGAATTCTGGCAGTTTTAAGTAATATACGTATTTCTCTTCCTTTAATTAATTTTGGTTTGTCTCTCCAGACAATTTCATTGTACTTCAACATTTCGATTAAACCGAATGCACTTTTTTGAATTTGCATAGAATTGTTTATCATACTGTTAAAAATTAGCAGAGAGTGCAACAAAACCAGGTTCTTCGAAAAATTACCCAGGCTAAGCAATCAAGGCGGATTCATAAACCACACGTACAGGAATATATTATTTTAAACAGACAGACGGAAACGGAAGACAATACTTCCCGAACGTCATAATTTAGCAATAAATTACATCAATTAAACAAAAACAGCTCTTATTATCTGATTGAAATTGTCTGATAAAAAAATAATTAGCGGAAACAACAAATTTACAAAGAAAATTTCGAGTAATTTTTGCTTTATTAATATAAACAGTCTGAACTCACGGTCCGTTCATTCTTCACGGTTCACAGCAATAAGTAATTTTTTTATTGTAGAATGTGTTTTAAGCACCGTAGTGCCCCTCAAACAACAGCCTCCACTCCGCCTCGTGTCAATAATCCCCGGAAACTCATTTTCCACTCCTTTTGTACCTCAAAATCCCTCGCAACACCTACAAAAACCCTATCCTTTGCAGGCTAGTCGCAACGAGGCGAAAATAAGAAAAAATTGTCGCAAATTATACGCGACTAATTGGACAATTCAGTTAAGAGGCGCTGTAAAGCGCCCGAGAAGAACCCATTCGAGGAAGGCGAATCGAAATAGCGATTTGTGGAGCCCTTTTAATTAGACCGACCATCGATTTAGCCATCAAAAGAAGTCGCGCGGCTGAAATTAGAGTTGTCCTTCGAGGGCACACATACAAAAGTTGCACAATCGGAATGTTAATGCCTCCCATCAATCCCACTCTCTGAATCTGAAAGCCATCTGAAAGATGTCTTACCGGTGTATTGTTCTCCCGGAACGTAAGTGGCGGGGTTTCCGGAGATTTCAATTTGGAAGTGACCAGGATTCGGTTTCGGGGAGACTCCTTCCAAGGTCCTGCTACATTTGAGAGCAGTGCCGTTTGCCCCAGCGGTGAATACTAACCAGGAGATCCAGAATATTTGCAGCATTTCTCGATCTGGAACAGGAGGTGGCATTTACGCGTGAAATAATACACGAGAGTAACCAAAGAAATTATTCACTGTTTTGTAAATGTGCGGCGATGCGGCGATGAATGCTCAAATAAAAATTCTTGACACTATTGGAACAAACAAAGCCGGGTATTAATAAATCCCGCAAGCGTGAAAAGTTTGATTGTAATTAACATTATTTATGCAATTACGATTCAGTGCACGCTGTTATAGGTACTAATAAAATATTCATTGCGTACACTATGAGTATTTACATGTTGTGAACAGTTATTTTCTGTTGTTACAATTAAAACTTTCATTTAATTTTCGTGTCTCCACAATCACGAATTCATTTAACTAAAAACCACCAAGCATAAATCGCCTAAGCAGCATTCGACCAGCCTAGAGCGAACTTTACGAAATTGGGAGATAACTGAAACTTAAATCCATATAAGATATTCGCAAACGTAATTTCTGTACCGAATTAATTCTCACTGGAATCAGATTCATCAATCATTTCCGCTTAAAATGCATTCTAAATAGCAAGTATAGCGTTCAGTCGCATTTGTAGTCCGACACGTTTGTCCGAGATCTAGTTGGCACTTTTCAGGACGCGTTGCACGCTTAGGTCAAGGAAGGAATACACTGAAAACAAAAATTACCTATTTTACATGGAAAAAGTCTTTCGTAAATATGTACGTAGAGGGGCAGCTACAGCCCGTAGGGTAGTTTTATTTCCACTATAATGAACTGTTACTAAAGTTACGAATTAATAATCAGATATATTAAAACAATTTACTTAAACAGCACGTAATTCCCACGATTTGGAAATTTGGCAAACTTTATAAAACTAAAGGTTTGTTTACCGTCAAAATAAAACATATTAAAAAATTGGTCCAAGGTTATTTCGACAGAACTTCCCTCCCAATAAATTCCGTTTCTTCCAAAAATTTTAATTTTTTTTTTCGATTTTTTTCAATTCTCCAGTTTTTCATTCCTTTTTGTTCCTTCAGTTGCAATATTTGAAGTTTTTCGAGTTTTTAAGTTTAAATTTTTAATTTTTCGATTAGCAATTTTTCATCCAGGTTTTTTATTTTTTTTATTTTTACAATTTTTCGGTTTTTCATTTCCTTCATTTCTTCAATGCTTTTTCATTTTTATGATTTTTCGTTTAATTAATTTTTCAAATTTTAATCTTTGATTTTTGCGTTTCTCGATTTTCCAATTTATAACATTTTCAATTTTGCAATTTTTCGATTTTTAAGTTTCTCAATTTTTAATCTTTCGATTTGCAACTTTTCGTTTCTTTAATTTTTCAAGTTCTTGATTTCCAATTTTTTGGTTTTTAAAATTTTCATTTTATACTTTTTCGTTTTTTCGTTTTTAATTTTTCAATTTTACAATATTGCAATTTTTCCATTTTTTTATCCGAAAAGCTGAAAAACCAACTTCCCTCCCAATAAACTCCGCTTCTTCAAAAAATTTTGATTTTTTTTTTCGTTTTTTTTTAAATCCTTCAGTTTTCATTCCTTTTTGTTTCTTCAGTTGCAAGATTTGAAGTTTTTCGAGTTTTCACGTTTAAATTCTTAATTTTTCAATTTTTCGATTAGCAATTTTTCATCCAGGTTTTTTATTTTTTTTATTTTTGCAATTTTTCGACTTACAATTTTTCGGTTTTTGTTTTTTTTTTATTATTTCAGTTTTTAAATTTTGCACTTTTTCGATTTGAAATTTCATTTTTCGATTTTTCAATTTTTCATTTCTTCAATTTTTCGATTTGCGGTTTTCGTTGAGATTTCTTGTTTTCTTTATTTTTTTCTATTTTTCGGTTGACAATGTTTTGATTTTATATCTTTTGTTTTTTTCAATGTATACCTAATTTTTCAGTTTTGAATTTTTCCATTTTCGATTTGCAATTTTTCTGGTTTTCATTTTAAATATGTATCTAATAATGATTATAATTTTTAAAATTTTCACTTTTTCAATTTTACGATTTTAGAATTTTTCCATGTTTTAATTTTTTATTAGATTTTTCTATTATTCGGTTTCTAATTTTTCAATTCCTCGATATTTATTTTTCAATTTTTTGTTCTTTCAGTGTTACACTTTTCGAACTTTACAATTTTGACGATTCTATAATTTTTGTGTTTTCCAAATTTTCGATTTGATTCGTTTTATCTTCTTTCCAATTTTTCGATTCATTAATTTTTTTGGATTATTATTTTTGACGATTTTTAATTATTAATTTTTTTTGTTTCTTCAATTTTTAGATTTTGCAACTTTTTCACTGAAAATTTCTTGAGTTTACAATTTTTCGTTTTTCAATTAATTTTTAATATTATCAAATTTTCAAGTTTTTATTTTTTTCAATGTTTTTTTCTAGTTTTCATTTGCAATATTTATCTAGTAATGATTATAATTTTTAAAAATTTTCACTTTTTCGATTTTAGAATATTTTTCAATTATTGGATTTTAAGACTTTTTCATGTATTCAATTTTTCTATTTTTCGGTTTTTAATTTTTTTCTTCGATATTTAATTTTTCAATTTTTTTTCGGACTTTAGAATTTTGACGATTCTATCATTTTTGAGTTTAGGAATAAAGCAAATGAAAAAACAAAAAATTATGATATAAAATCGTGAAAATGAAACTGACGAAATCGGGAAAATGCAAAGAAAAATCCATTTTCCGATTTTCTGGTTTTTCGATTTTTAATTTTTCGGATAAAAAAAATGGTAAAATTGCAAAATTGTAAAATTGAAATATCAAAAACGAAAACGTATAAAATGAAACTTTTAAAAATAAAAAAATTGGAAATGAAGAACTTGAAAAATTATAGAAACGAAAAGTTGAAAGTCGAAACATTAAAAATTGAGAAACTTAAAAATCAAAAAAGTGCAAAATGGAGAAAACGAAATATTGTAAAAGCGTAATCGTAATATTGAAAATTAAAGAAATCGGAAAATCGGATAATCGAGAAATCGAAAAATTGCGTAATTAAAAAATTTAAAAATCAGTAAATCGGAGAATTAAAAAATCAAATATGGAAAATTTGAAGAATTGAAAAACCATTGAAAAAATAAATAAAGGAAATCAAAAAACAAAAAATTGTGATATAAAATGGAGAAAATGAAAGTGAAAAAATCGGGAAATTGAAAAATAAAAATCGTTTTACCGAATTTTTGGTTTCTCTATTTTTCAATTTTTCGGATAAAAAAAATGGAAAAATTGCAAAATTGAAAAATCAAAACGAAAAAACGAGAAAGTATAAAATGAAAATTTTAAAGATCTAAAAATTGTAAATCAAGAACTTGAAAAATTAAAGAAACGAAAAGTTGAAAATCAAAAGATTACAAATTGAGAAACTTAAAAATCGAATAATTCCAAAATTGAAAAATTGAAAAATTGGAAAATCAAGGATTCGAAAATCAAAGATTGAAAATTTGAAAAATTAATTAAACGAAAAATTATAAATTTCAAAGAAACATTGAAAAAATGATTAAAATGAAAAAACGAAAAATTTCGATACAAAGTCGGGAAAATGAAGACAAAAATTAAAAACTTGAAAAATTGGGGAAACGTGAAATAAAAAACCGAAAAATTAAAAATTGAGAAACTGAAAAATTGTAATATCGAAAAATTGTAAAATTGAAAAATTGCAAATTGAAAAATTAACATTCAAGAAAAGAAAAATTGTGATATTAAAATATTGGTAAAAGGTAAATAAGTCCATATTTCTCTAAAAATTAAAAAAATTTATTTTGCTAATAATAAACAATTCCCAAATTTTCGGGAAAATGGAGTGAGTCGATCTTGATTTATTCAATACAATATTGCCTCATTCATTAATTTTATTTTTTTTATTTTTTCAATTTTCTAATGTTCTACTTTTATCATTTTTATACTTTATTCAACGTGAAATTTATCTATTTCAGTTTTTTGATTTACAATTTTTTCTTTTTCAGTTTTTGATTTTTAAAGCTTCAGATTTTTTAATTTTTCTTTTTTCTATTTTCGGTTTTTCAGTTTCCCGATTTTTCAATTTTGCATTTGTTCAATTTCTGATTTGCAGTTTTCTAGTTTTTATATCAAATATAAATCTAATAATGATAATTTTTAGAATTTTCCTCTTTTTCAATTTTACAGTTTTAGAATTTTTCCATTTTTCAATTGTTGGATTTAAAATTTTTTTTATTTTTTCGATTTTTATATTTTCAATTTTTCAGTATTCAATTTTTCAATGTTTTAATATTTCAATGTTCGTTTTTTTTTTTCAATTTTTCGATTTATATATTTTTTTCATTTCTCCAGTTCATCGATTTGGAATGATCCGTTTTTCCACTTTTTCGATTTTTCAACTTTTGGAATAAAAAAAATGAAAAAATCAAAAATGAGAGAACGAAAAATTATTAAATGAAAACTTTGAAAACGAAATATTCGTAATATTGAAAATTAAGGAAATCGGAAAATCGGATAATTGAGAAATCCAAAAATTGCAGAATTAAGAAATTTTAAAACTCGTAAATTGACGAACTGAAAAATTAAAGATGACAATTTGAAAAATTGAAAAACAAAAAATTATAAAATCGAAATAAACATTTAAAAAAAATAAATAAAGGAAATGAAAAAAAATCGGGAAAATGAAAAATAAAAATCAAGAACTTGAAAAATTGGGGAACGAAAAATTAAAAAACCGAAAAATTGAAGAAACGAGAAATTGAAAAATTAAAGAAAATAAAAAACAAAAAATTTTGATATCAAAAACGGAAAACTGATATTAAAATATTGGTCGAAGGTAAATAAATCCATATTTCTCTAAAAATTAGGAGTATAAGATTTGATTTTGCTAATAATGGATTTAGTCGATCTTAATTTATTCAACACAGTAAATTGCTTCATTCATTAATTTTAGCTAATATTTGCCAAGATAAGACTGATTTTGGCAAATGACATACTCTTTACAAAAATAAAGGGTGGGTGGGCGGGGCTACTAGATATTTGCTAAGATAAGACTACGATAATTAAGATAATCTCCGAAACTACCGCCAAAATAATTAAAAAAAACTGTTTTTTGTCATTTGAACACATCGAAGATTATCCAAGACATTTTTTTGTGGATTTCGAATTGTGGAAGTTATTTTTGGTTCCATTTCTTCTAAAAATCGAACAATTTTTCCAGAATCGATAAAATGAAAAAAGACAATTTTCCAGGTAAAAAAAATCATTATCAAACCAAATTTTTCGAAAATTTTCGTCCGAGGCCGTATAAATGGCCTGTTTATCGAATAAGCGCGTCGAGATTTACATCCCAAATTTTTTTGAGGATTGGTAAGTAAGTAACTTTAAAAAGTGTCAAATTTTCAATACCACCCTCCCCCGTATAAATTTCCAAGATATTTGAAAAATTTCGTTTTTAAATTGAATTTTTCCAAAATTTTGGTCCGGAACCATCAACACGTTGTTATTAATCAGTTCGTCGAAATGTATGCTCCAGAAATTTTTGAGAATTAGGCAAGTTTTCAAAAATCTCAATTTCCGAGATGTTTAAAAAATTTATTTTTATATCAAATTTATAAAATTTTTCAAAAATATGGCTCCTGCAATGCTTTTTTGACTGTTTTTGGAGATTTCGAGATATTTAAAAAAACCTATTTCCAACCGAATAATTCGAAAATCTTGGTCCAGAAAAAACTTAGATTTTAGAATCTTCAAAAAATATTTCCCAGTTTTTTTTTGAGATGACATCATCAATTTTTTTGAGAGAGGATAAACGAGTAAATTTTGATTAACGATTTACTATGCTTACGATAACCTTAAAATGTTTACAAAATTTTAGAGCATATGGTTTTGCTGCTTCAAAGCTAAATTGCAAAATGTTGTTATGCAATTTTATCATCCACGTGATAGTTCTTATATACTAGTATACATACAAAATTTTTTCATCAATCGGCCCAATAGTTTCGATTATCTGTCTAATAAAAACCCCAACAGATGGCAGACAGACAGACAGACAGACAAACAGATAGACAGACGGAAAGAGGAGACCTATTTCTTAGTACTCTAGGGGCTAGCTTACGCTCAGGAAATAAAAATACAGTTACTTAAACTTTCATTTTTTCCATGTATCTATCTGTTTCTTTTTGCTTTAATTTCGCTTTGTATTAAGATTCGATATCGCAATATTGTCTATTGTTCTCCAGCGTTCCTTCCCTCCGTTGCCAATAACGATATCAAACTCTCTCCCCTAGAACAATGCAATGCATACTTGAACAATAACTTCCACAACTCTAATTCAGAAAATGTCAAATATTTGCCTATAGTACATAAATTTATTCCGTCTAAAACAGACAACGTCAGCCTTTAACGGACCTTCCGCCCAAATATAATTTAAACGTGAGCGATAATTAACAGGAATTGTGTACAGGATACACACACAAAGTTAATTTTGCTGCGCTTTCAAAACTTTAATCGTCTGTCTCTACTCCCAGCATTATTCAACGTGTTTGCTTTTGTCCAATTTAATACAACACTACTTTTTATTGCCCGGCTTTCAGGACGATAATTGCTACTATGAGTGAAATATGCTGGAGTTGTGGCTGAACACGATTGTGAAACACAAAAAAGTGCAATTTCCAATCGAATATGACTTACATTCAGGACGTCATTCGGTGCAGATGGAAATTTTAAAGCTGGATTTGATTGCGTGTCGTGGGCAAAAGTCAACATAAGCAATGTATGAATTTAAAATGAGAATGTATTTTTCTTTGACAAACTAATTATTGTTGGAATCGTTTAATTTTTTACATGTTCTCATTTTTAACAGACAAACAAAATTAATGAATAGAAAATTCCTGAAAGAAAGTTTTCCGCTGCATTTGCCTTTCACTCGCGTCGCTTCCTTAGTTATTTCCGTAAGAATTCAATGAAGTTAAGTGAAAATGTAGTGAATCAGTTTTGCAACGTCGATTATGTTCTAGATGCGTTTAACGGAAATTAATTTTTCAATTTAATTTCAGGAATGTGGAACTGCCTTGGAAAGTAATTGGACCTAGACGAACAATGATTTTTTTTTTCAAACAAAAAAACCGGTGTTACATTGGTTTCCTAACAATGCGAAGGCACCTCTACAAGTTACAAATTAACTAAATTAGTTAGTTCGAAAATCACTTTGTTCCGACACAACTCCAAGTATTAAAGTGGAACTAAACCATTTAAACCTGTTCTTTAAAGCGTTATTATTCTCGAAAAATGTACGCCCGCTTTACAAAAGAACAAAGGCGACACCAAGAATTACCTAGCTTATCGCAAGAAGCGTCAGTAACAAGACAGAACATGAAAAATACCAACATTAGCGCATCGCTGGCGTATTTAAATTCTTTAGAAAATTTGTATATTCCCCCCAGATTCGTTTCCATGCCTTGCACACCTGGATGATTGATAACCCGCTTCCCGATGTCAGTTATTGAAAAATGGGTCGTTTCGGGGGTTAGAACTGTCCAATTAAGCATTTATTAAAAACCGCGTGAAGAACCACACCGACTGCGCCACTTTCGCAACCTCGCAATCCAACTCTCCGACAAAATGATAAACTTACCAAATTCGACGAGCGATCGTTTAAGAAACATGTCACTGCCGCGTGTGTGGCGCGTGTTTTTGTTCAAGTCGTTAACTTGCTCCTTGGTTTGTCGGAATTGAACTGAGCGTCGCGACGCCGACGCCAGTCTATATGCAAAATGCGTATAGCTTGAAACGTGCGCCAAGCACGTACGAAAACTAAGTAAACGACTCATCACATTGCTACTAAATCAGATTCAATTTCCTGTGCATTTACAGGCCCCCGACTAGGAGAGTTATTGTGAAGCTCATCCATTTAAAATCGGGTGTATTCATCTTTAGACGTTTCCTGTTCGTTTAGTGTTGGAAAATGCGACCGTTTATTATACGAAACGAGATTATAATTAATTCGATTTAGTTAGCGAGGGTTTCTTTGAAGTTACTTAAATAGATAGGTAGTCTATTGTCGAACATTCGGAGGAGTATTCGAAGAACAAGAGTGGTAATAATGAGCGTTATCCGGGGGTAAGCGATCGATGAGGTATCGTAATTGTGGGTGCATAATGTGGGAAATTCAGGGGATTAGTCTGGAAACAGGTACGGTTATCACGGTAAAAAATGTCGGGTTGGATTAAAAAAAACGTAGCTGGCGCAGATTCGCTACGTGAATGATAAAGTTTGCAACACAGTCTTCCCTATCTGTTTAAGTCGTTTCCTCTTTGTCTTCATTCCAGTGGAACGTTCTAACCTTCACACCCAGACACCACGTCATCGATACGTTCCTCACACTTCAGTTTCTTTAAATGGACCTTTGAAAAAAGAATACTGAAGACAAATGTTTTATAATTGTCTTCTTCATCTTTCTTTTGCGAAGATTTTGCCTTGTGTTATAATTGAAGTTATCTTGCAGACTATTTTGTAATTTAATTAGAAATTTCCTCGAGTATCAGTTTCATTTTACAAATTTCCTGGAATCTCACCAAAAATTCTCGCACTCTTCCGACATTGAACCTTTCTTTCAATATGAAAACTTTCAAAATATTTCCGATACAATGTGCCTTCAATCAGTTCTTCTGTTGCTCTAATGACACACAAAAATTTTAATATTTCTAGCTCTATTTAATCTCAATTGGAATTTTTTTATCCCCAAAGGAAACTTTTTTAAAAATAGCCTCTTCTCACGTTAATATTCCTCTTCAGCCTCAGTCCTGCACCATTCTTCTAACCTCAGAGCAAAATTCTTCTAAAATTTTGTTTGTGTGCTGCTTCTACAAGATTTTTATCTATCGATGATCTTAATAACCTACTTCTTGTAACCGCAGATTGTGATGTCTTCTCTTTGAAGTAATTTCAATGAATCCCAGGGATGTTTCTCTGTATTGTTTTTGAAGCGATTTGAAAGATTCTCGGGGACCCACTGTGGATCTTGTTTTTGAATTAATTTGAAAGAATTTCGTGACACCTTGGAATTTATCTTTAAAGTATTTTAAAGAATTTCGGGGACCTCTTTTGTCTTGTCTTTGAAGTAACTTGACAGAATCTCGAGGTTTGAAAGACTCTTAAGAATCCCTTGTCTTGTTTTTAAAGTAATTTGAAAGAATCTTGGGAATTTTTCTGTATATTCGTTTGAAGCAATTTGAAAGAATCTCAGGGACCACTTTGTTTTTGAGGTAGTTTGAAAGAATTTCGGAGACTGTCTCTGTGGGTTTTGTTTTTGAAGTAACTTGAAAGAATCTCGGGGATGCCCTGTGGATCTTGTTTTGAAGTAATTTGAATGAATATCGGGGACTTCTAGGATTTTGTTTTTGAAGTAATTTGAAAGAATCTTATGATCCCTTGTGTTTTATTTTTAAAATATTTTGACAGAATCTCGGGGAACCACTAGATTTTGTTTTTGAAGGAGTTTAAAAGAATTTCGGGGACTCCTTGTGAGTGGTTTTTGAAGTAGTTTGAAAGAATCTCGGGAACCTCTTGTGTTTGGTTTTTGAAGTAGTTTGAAAAATTCTTGGGAATACATGCTTTTTTTTAAGTAATTTAAAAGAATCCGGCCCCCCCCCTGTGTGGTTTTTGAAGTAATTTGAAACAATCTCGGAGACCACTTGGATTTTGTTTTTTAAGTAATTTGAAAGAATCTCGGAGATGCCCTGTGAATTTTGTTTTCAAGTAATTTGAAAAAATCTTTGGAGAACCCTTGGATTTTGTTTTTGGAGTACTTTGAAAGAATTTCGGAGACAACTTGTGTTTGGTTTTTAAAGTGGTTTAAAAGAATCTCAGAGACCTCTTTTGTGTTGTTTTTGAAGTAGTTTGAAAAATTGTTGGGAATTCATGTTCTTGTTTTTGAAGCAATTTGAAAAATTCCCGGGGACCCCCTGTGTCTGATTTTTGAAATAATTTGAATGAATCTCAGGGACCACTTGTATTTTGTTTTTGTTTAGTTTGACAGAAACTGGCAGACCCCCTATGGATTTTGTTTTTGGAGTAATTTGAAAGAATCTGGGAGACCCCTTAGATTTTGTTCTTGAAGTAATTTGAAAAAATCTTGGAGACTCCCTGTGTTTTGTTTTTGAAATAGTTTGATCTTTTGTGGGTCTTGTTTTTTAAACAATTTGAAAGAATCTTGGGGACCACTTGAATTTTGTTTTTGAGATACGAAGTTTGAAAAAATCTCGGGGACGTCTTTTTGCTGTTTTGGAGTAGTTTGAAAGATTCTTGAGAATCCATGGTCTTGTTTTTTAAATAATTTGCAAGAATTTCGAGGATCACTTATATTTTGTTTTTAAAGTAATTTAAAAGAATCTGGAAACCCCTTGGGTTTTATTTTTGAAGTAGTTTGAAAGAATCTCGTGAACCTCCTGTGGGTCTTGTTTCTGAAGTAATTTAACAGAATCTTGGGGGTCCTTTTTTGTTTGAATAACTCTTAGGAATCCCTTGCCTTGTTTTTGAAGCAATCTGAAAAAATCTTGAGGACCACTGTGTTTTGTTTTTGAAGTAATTTGAAAGAATATCGGGGACTCCCTGTGGGTTATATTTTTGAAGTAATATGAAAAAATCTCGGGGATTCCCTGTGGATTTTGTTTTGAAGTATTTTTAAAGAATCTTAGAGACCCCTTGGATTTTGTTTTTGAAGTAATTTCAAAGAATCCTGAAGACCCCTTGGATGTTGTTTTTGAAGTAATTTGAAAGGATCTGGGAACCCCTTGGGTTTTATATTTGAAGTAATTTGAAACAATCTCCGGAACCCCCTGTGGATCTTGTTTTTGAGGTAATTTGAAAGAATCTCGGTGATCTTTCTGACTATTGTTCTTAAATTGATTTGAAAGAATCTCGGACATCACGTATGTCTTGTTTTTGAAGTAGTTTGAAAGAATCTCGTGGATTCCAAGTGGGACCTTTTTTTGAAGTAATTTGAAGGAATCTCGGAGATGCCCTGTGAATCTTGTTTTGAAGTAATTTGAAAGAATTTTTGGGGACCCTTGGATTTTGCTTTTGAAGTAGTTTGAAGGAATTTCGGAGACCACTTGTGTTTGGTTTTTGAAGTAGTTTAAAAGAATCTCGGAGACCACTTCTGTTTTGTTTTTGATTAGTTTGGCAGAATCTCGCAGACCCCCTGTGGATTTTGTTTTTGAAGTAATTTGAAAGAATCTCGGAGATTCCTTGGATTTTGTTTTTGAAGTAATTTGAAAAAATCTTGGGGACTTCCTGTGTTTTGTTTTTGAAGTAGTTTGACGGAATCTCGGGATCTTTTGTGGGTCTTGTTTTTTAAGCAATTTGAAAGAATCTTGGGGACCACTTGGATTTTGTTTTTGAAGTATATGGTTTGAAAAAATCTCGGGAACCCCTTGTGACTGGTTTTTTTGAGTAGATTGAAAGAATCTCTGGGACGTCTTTTGCTGTTTTTGGAGTAGTTTGAAAGATTCTTGGAAATCCATATTCTTCTGAAATAATTTGCAAGTATCTCGAAGATCACTTGTATTTTGTTTTTAAAGTAATTTGAAAGAATCTGAGAACCCCTTGGGTTTTATTTTTGAAAATGTCGGGAACCTTCTGTGGGTCTTCTTTTTGAAATAAATTAAAAGAATCTCGGTAAGGCCCCGTAGATCTTGTTTTGAAGTAGTTTGAAAGAATCTCGGGAACCTCTTGTGTCTGGTTTTTCAAGTAATTTAAAAAATTCTCGCGAACTTCTTTCATATTGTTTTTGTAGTAGTTTGAATAATTCTTGAGAATCCATGTTTTTTTTAAGTGATTTAAAAAAATCTCGGCGTCCCCCCTGTGTCTAGATTTTGAAGTAATTTAAAACAATCTCGGGGATCCCTTGGATTTTGTTTTTGAAGTAGTTTGAAAAAAACTCCGAGACCTCTTTTGTCTTGTTTTTGAAGTAATTTAACAGAATCTCGGGGCTCCTTTTTTGTTTGAATGACTCTTAGGAATCCCTTGTCTTGTTTTTAAAGCAATTTGAAAGAATCTTGAGGACCACTGTGTTTTGTTTTTGAAGTAATTTGGAAGAATATCGGGGACTCACTATGGGTAATATTTTTGAAGTAATTTGAAAAAATCTCGGTATGCCCTGTGAATCTTGTTTTGAAGTATTTTTAAAGAATCCTGGGGACCACTTGGATTTTGTTTTTAAAGTAGTTTGAAAGTATTTCGAGAACCCCGTATCGATCTTGTTTTTGAGGTAATTTGAAAGAATCTCCGTGATTTTTCTGCCTATTATTCTTAAATTCATTTGAAAGAATCTCGGACATCACTTATGTCTTATTTTTGAAGTAGTTTGAAAGAATCTCGTAGATTCCCTATGGGACCTCTTTTTGAAGTAAATTGAAAGATCCCGGGGATACCCTGTGAATCTTCCTTTGAAGTAGTTTGAAAGAATCTTGAGGAGCCCTTGGATTTTGTTTTTGAAGTAGTTTGAAAGGAGTTCGGAGACCCCTATGGATTTTGTGTTTGAAGTATTTTTAAAGAATCTCGGACACCTCTGAGATTTTATTTTTGAAGTAATTTGAAAGAATCTTGGAAACTCCCTGTGTTTTATTTTTGAAGTAGTTTGACGGGATCCGTTGTGGGTCTTATTTTTTCAGCAATCTGAAAGAATCTTGGGGACCACTTGAATTTTGTTTTTGA